GTACTACATACGGATTTTTTGTTAAATAACGGCCAATCTTAAAGTAGGCACTTGTATATTAATCCAAAGTTAGTTTAGTTAGAGTTTTAGTTAATATTTTTATATTCTTACGTTCAGACCACAAGTGGTTGGTCTCTGTATTCCGAAGTCCGGAAATCTCTGTAAAGATAGAAAAATAAAGGGTTTCGTATACCCTTCCTGTGTGTATTGTCTACTTCACAATTTATTGAACATAGCTTGAGTAAGCTCCCTGTTCCGAGTCAGGACAGTTCATGTTTCCAAACAAGTAAGAGGAACACAATCCTGACAACCGATGCTGACCCCAAGATACAAGCAATGGATCCTTAACTGGTTCGAAAAAGAATAAGGCACCTTGCTCTAACATTCCGACTGTTTATCAATTTCACGCTGCTCTGCGGTGTGGGGGGGAGGGAAAAACACCGCGCCGTGCAATGAATTGGAAATTGATCTGTCAGCACTATCCTTATCTTCAAGGCAGACGTTTTTATTTTATTTGGCTTATAATTCCTTACTAAATGTAGTATTTTATCTCAAAGTACTCCATCTTTGATATGATTTATGATTTAAATCAAATTCCTCGTCATTATAATTCGCTTTCGATAGTGAAGAAATTGACACAGAGGTTATTGAAAACGAAAAAATTTCGATTGACAAATAAGTCAGTATTCTCGACGCAGCAATTATAGGACTTGAAAAGCGGAACTTTGTAACTGAACAAGAAATTATGTCTGTTTATAGAATTAAAAAGAAAGTATTATCACAAACGAAGCAACTTAAACAACTTACATTGAAAGAAATGTTTAATAAAGTAAACAAATAAATATTAACTTTTGTTTTGTAAATGTTGATAGCCTTTAGATCATAATTGTTCTTTATTTCATAAATTACGGTTTCATATTTTTAATTTTATAATTTCTGCATGCCATCTTACCAGATTTAAACTAATGATCTATAAACCGGAATCGCCGAAGTCCCGACGAGTCCGGATTAATGACTTCTGACTGTATTTATAATGAAAAGGAAATTGATTGAAATTATATAGGAGTACATTGAGATAAAACACTACATTTAGTGAGGAATTATAAGCCGAATAAAATAAAAGCATCTGCCCTGAAGAGGAGGAAAGTGCTGATAGATCAACTTCGAGTTCATTGCATGCTGACAATGCCCCCCTCCCCCCGCAGAACAGCTTGAAATTGATAAACAGATTCTGGAATGGTTAGAGCAAAACAAATAACCTCTCTGTCACTTACTTCATGCCTTTATCCATTTTTTGCAGCAATGCCACTTTTTGTTTAATGGACATCGGAACACGCTTTCGCTTTGTAGATCCTTTGGCAACTCCAGAATTGGAAATTCTTTTTGACATAATCGAAAGTTCAAGCTTACTTTTTATAAAATTGCTCCAACAGTCTGCAAAAAATAATAAGCTGGATCCAATTCGAAGATTATGGAACAATGCAATCTGCAACATTAACTAAAATAGATAATTAGATAATTTTACCTTAGCTTATACCATCAGTTATACATTAAACGCACATGCATAAATGTATTATGCACATGCAGAAAGTTTGTAGCTTTGAGATCCGGATTATAGATCATTCCGGATCATGGACGTCTGGATTAAAGACTTTTGATTTTATTACAATACAGTCAAAAGTTGTTAATCCGGACTCATCGGGACTTCGGGAATTCCGGATTATAGATCATCAGTTTAAATCTGGTAAGATGGCATGCAGAAATTATAAAATTAAAAATATGAAACCGTAATTTATGAAATAAAGAACAATTATGATCTAAAGGGTATCAAAATTTACATAAAAAAAAGTTTAATATTTATTTGTTTACTTTATTAAACATTTCTTTCAATGTAATTGTTTAAGTTGCTTGGTTTTATGTGATAATACTTTCTCTTTAATTCTATAATCAGACATAATTTCGGTTAATCTTTGGATTATGGTTACTTGGTGGTTTTTTAGCGAAAATTTGGCCTTCAACTATGCTATAGCAACCTGCTAATTTTTTTTGACGCCATTTTGTTTTCAAGAAGCAAAGGCACGTTTTTTTTAATTTTTATTTTTATTTTTATTTTTATTCTCAACATTTTTTTTTCCAACAATCTGCTAGCTGAATTACACTTATGCTAGAACTTTTATGGAACGAAAGTGCTTAATCATGACGAAGAGTAGGTGCGAAATTGGGAGAAAGTGCAGAATCGCCCACTGCTTGCCACGTTTTTAAGAATTGCACATACACGGTATCATCTATGTACACGTCGACCTATTTTCACTTGAAAAAACATCCCAGAATTGCATAAAAATGGCATTGTGCACACTCTTGACTTTATCCATGTACACTGCTAAAGTCCTAGCTAGTAACCTTTATCACCTTACCAAAATGTTGCCAAACTACCCATTACCATATTCCAAAGATTAGCCATAATTTCTTGTTCAGTTACAAAGTTCCGCTGTTCAAGTCCTATAATTGCTCTGTTGAGAATACCGACTAATTTGTCAATTGAAATTTTTTCGTTTTCAATAACCTCTGTGTCACTTTCTTCACTACCGGAAGCGAATTACAATGACGAAAAATTTGATTTAAATCATATCAAAGACGGAGTACATCGAGATGAAATATTACATTTAGTAAAGAATTATAAGCCATATAAAATAAAAACATCTGCCCTGAAGATAAGGGATAAGGATAGTGCTGACAGATCAACTTCCAATTCATTGCGCGCTTCGGCGTTCCCCCCCCCCTACAGAGCAACGTGAAATTGATAAACAGATTTCGGAATGGTTAAAGAAACAAAGGATATGCCTTTATGCATTTTTTGCAGCAATTTCACTTTTTGTTTGATGGACATCGAAACATACTTTCACTTTGTAGATCCTTTGGGAGCTCCAGAATCGGAAATTCTATTTGACATAATCGAAAGTTCAAGCTTACTTTCATAAAATTGCTCTAACAGTCTGCAAAAAATAATAAGCCTGATCCAATTTGAAGATTAAAGAACAACGCAATCTGCAACATTAACTGAAATAGATAATTTTAGCTTATACCATCCGTTAGACATTAAACGCGCAGACGCATATACGTCATATACGCGTCATCGCGACGCATGCGTAGAAAGTTTGTAGCTTTGAGGTCCGGATTATAGATCATTCTGGATTATGGGTGTCCGAATTAACGACTTTTGACTGCATTACCATTATATTATATACAATATTACCATTTGGTACTTTCCCGTTTTGCCGGCGCAAATGATAAAGCCTCATTTTCAAAACAAGTCGCAGCCATTTTTACCAGATTGATTGTTTCTTTCAATACTGGCATACAATTACGTAGAATATTTACAAAGGTAATTAAATTTTATGCCCTAAGACCATTTGCAGTAATTAAGTCAATTAGGATGCAATCACATTGCTCACCCAAAGGTGAAAATATAGAAAAGGCAAAATCAAGGGTAAAATTCATCAATTCTAATGAGAATGCACTAGCGACGTAAAGCACTGCGGTTTTACATAGTTTCTGAGTAAGCTATTTTATGAATTGAAATAATTCTTGCATTTAAACTTGTATTCTAAATTAAGATTTAACTTGAAATTAATGTAGATAATTATTGAGAGAATTATATTTTTGTAGCATAGTTTAAGTGAGATGAGATCACTTGGGGTCACGTGATATGAAAAGGCAAATCAGGATGTTGAACCATGATAGCATAGTAAATTCTTAAATTAATGTCTTTTTACAAATTTATTGGCTTTATTTATTGGCTTTTTATAAAATTTTAAACCATATTAAAATGTTTATGCCTTCAAAATAAAAAATTCTTAGAGTACCTACCATTTTTGTTTCATGATGGAATACTTGTTGATAGCATGATTTCAAGTAGAATTACTATGACAGTATTTTACGAATATTTTGTTTTACGATGTAGTGATTATTTTAATTTTGTATTAGTTATTTTTAATTCTGAAACCCTTTCTTTTATTCTCTTGTTTTCCACCTTCGATAACTCCCTATTAGAATGAGTTTCCAGTATTGATTTTATGTAAATGATGTAAAACCAGTATTTAATGAGAAGTTTAATCGCTTCTATAGAAGATCTCAGAAGTTCTCAGTAGTGTTCTACCTTCTGGCCATGTCATTGCTTTAAGCCTATCTTGGTACATTCAGCCGTGGTCTTAAGTGCCTGTTAGTGTTCACCGGTGAGTTTTAATTAAGGGCCAACTTGGTTAGTTATTTCTGTACAGCTTCGATTAAGTTTTAGTTAGATAGAATAAAGTTAGTTTCTTATTTTCTATCTGAAGTTAAAGTGGAAGCTTTCCAGTAAGCCAAAAAGAGACCAACTGTTATTATTCCTTTTGTGGAATAAAAGAGTATTTCAACCCTTCTTTGGACTTTTTTTTTTTTTTTTTTTTTTTTTTTTTTTTTATAGCTGCAAGAAGAACAGCGAATAGTTGCTATACTCTTCTCTAGTTCTAGCTGCCAAGGACACATAATTTAACTAGAACCCCATAACATTATACCTTAATGGTCTTCATTACCATCTAATAAAATCCTAATTACAAAAAAAGTTTGAAGAGATTTTATACACGACTTTCCTTTGGGAAATTATATACAATTATATTATACATAGGGAAAAAATAAGCATGCACAGAATAAGAATGAAACAAAGTTATTTTGCATTATGAATTTTCAATGACAACATATTGCCTTCTTTAGCTTTAAATTATGTTCAATCACTGAAAGCATTTCTGCTAAAATAAAACTGACACCAAATAATGTTTTTTTTTTTTTTTAAATCAATTTTGCAGTGTATGATATTCTCTCCCACACCCAAGCAGGAAAGGTTTCACTGTAAAATTACTAATGTTAAGTGTTTACAGCTACTCAACAACAAATGAGTTCTGAGTTAGGATTACTTTAGTAACTTGTAAATGAAAATTAAATTATTCTAAAGCTTTCAAACTTACTTATCTCTGGTTTGTCCAGAGTTGATAATGATGCTAAATATCCATCCATGGATCCATATTCCGCACTTGTAGACGACCCAGCCATACCTTTATTTTAAAATCCTATTGAAAAGAAATCAAGTTATTAGTACAATGTATGGATCAGTGCAATAAATTTTCATAATCAAAATAATTCTACACCAATTAATGTATGTTTTTTGGGTAACACATGATGATATATGACTTGACCATGAGACTGAAATTAATACCCCCCGTTAATGTTTCAATAATTAGTCTACTTGAATTATCATCACCACAGTTATTCCTGAATATATTTATTGAGGAAATAAAAAGTATATTTTAAATTTATATTCAATACTCCTAGAAATGCTTTTTCAAGGTTTTCCTATTTTATTGTTTCTGCAGGATTTTTACAGGATGGCACCAAAAGCACCAATAGCTTTAGCAAAATTTTCATAACTGTGTAGTTTGCTTTGTGCTCTTGTTGTGTTCTTGGTAAATAAAATATGCTTGTTATATTTTTATATAAAAAAAAAAATAAGTAAACAAGGGTTTCTTTCATTTGATGAGGCAATGAAAAATCTTATTTGATGAAGGGCTTTGTTGATGGCATTGAGATGGGGAAGGCAGTTATAGACTTGCAATTCTGATTCTGCTTCAGGCACCAAGGATGAAAGCCTTGATGCTGAAGAAAGTTTAGGAGATGAAGCAAATATGGATTAACTTCAGTATGCAACAAGCTTAAATACTGATGTTGATGGTATAATACAGGGCACTTTGGAAGATGGCAAGAGTTAGACTGTTGACTCTCAAGTAGCTTTGACATCATATTGCCATAAAATTGGTACAAACTGCACACTGGCTGGTGACACTATTTGTCAGGATAACAGTGACATAATGCATGCTGAGTCTGTAGACCTCCCAGCCTCTTGTGACCTACAGAATGTTTTCATTTATTTGCTACTTAGAAGTTATGCAGAACATTGTATTAGAAACCAAAAGGTATGCAGAAAGTGTTTGATGGGCAAACTTCTAAACAAAGAATATGTGCTTTAGCACAGACAATTACTACACAAGTAGTCAACCTGGCAAATAACCTCCTCAAAAACAAAACAGTGTTATGCAGAACATTGTGACCAAACAGGAAATATCTCCCAGTTGGTCAGTTGCATATCGAAAAGCATCATGCAATTATGATGAAATGGAAAGATGTGCAAAAATGAGATAGCCTTTGAACTGAGCATTCTAGTGGAACGAAGACATTGGTTGAGAAAAGAATTGGGGGGGGGGAATCTAACCGTGTTCTAAATAACAACAAACAAATGTATTGCAGCATTGGTACTGATTAGCTACTTTCCACTATTGTGGAAATCACTAAAATTGTGCAGAAAGGTTATACTTCTTCATATGGATTCTAACTCCTCAGATACTCTCAGATAACTCATTCAGATTCTAACTCTTAAGTTTATAAATCAAGGTTAGCAAAAGGTGTTCTCAGATCTGGTTTGAAGGAGAAATGATGCGTTCAACACAGCTGGGACAAGGGTGAGGTAAGTGAGGCAGTTGCTTCAGGTGAAAAACTAGAAGGGGTGCAAACTTGACTCGGAAACCTCATTAAAAAAATTATTATTATTAAGATTAGAACACATCAAGAGCCAAGTTTCAAAATGTACTTAAAGTAATAAAATTTCACTGGCACTAATTTTGAAAATATAAAAGCATTACATTGTTGATACTGCTTTCATTCTTGGTGCTTTATATTAGTTGACAGTCTGATTCCCATTATTCATCTTTCATATGAATCTTCTCAGTCAGGAAGGCTTCTCTCAATTTACTTTTGACATAGCTTAGTTTCAACAAATTAATCAGCAAAATCATTAACTGATTTACTTCATTACTTTCCTGCAATCAAGCTTCTCTAATACACACTAATTAACCTTACTTCATCTTAATTCCTTTTTCGATACACATTTAATTAAAAAAAACTGTTTTAGACATCGCTGTATGAGTCATTTCTAAAACTGCCATGAGTTGATAGCCATGTAGTGGTGAAAGCAAACAATAATAAAAAATTATTGCCAGGCTGGCATAAATACACTTAGTACTGTAGAATCAGGAACAAATTTTGTAGAATGTTTTGGTTTGAGAAATATGCCAAGCAAAAATCAGCTATGGAGCCAACTAATTATTGATATTATAAATTTATTTAATCTAATAAATTATTATTTTTCTTAAGCATGGAGGTGTTTTATTTACGGGTGAACTGAAATTAAGAATCAGTATCTTTTACATACTTTATTATGAAAAAAATGTCTACTGTGCATGCATGAAGCACTAAGCACACACTAATCAAGATGCTGCTTTCAGAATCTAAATCTTTCTCCCTTTTTGCAAAAAAATTTCAAAAAAAAAAAAAAAAAAAAAAAGGTGGTGACCTGGAAATGTGAATATTAGATCATGCTGGAGAATTGACATTCAGTTTACATGCTTTGTACTGTATTATTCTATATTTCCTTAGAATTTGGTGCTGTATTGAAACTAAAGGATTTTCTGATTAGTCCTGAAAAAGTACTGATAAGGCAACACTCTATATCTGTCAAGTCAGATATACATGTAACATCTCTCCAGATGGCTTTCCCATACATCTAAAGGTGATAAAGCAACACTATATCTGTCAAGCCAGATATACATGTAACATCTCTCCAGATGGCTTTCCCCTTCTCAGATCATTTTTGCCAGTGTGACTGCACATTATGATCCATATCAGCATATCAACAGACAGATATTTTAGCATATCAACAGACTGCATACTGCAGGTTTCTTTGCCTTTGGTGAAATCTCAAACCTAGCTTTCTGCACGCAGAGAGTGTAATGTGACTTGTATAATGATTAAAGGAATCAAGCACATCAATTTTCCTTCTCATTCTAGGATTTTGGTGCCAAGTTTGTAAAATTCCCTGATATTTGTTTTAGTGAAAACAGATTCCTGTGTACATGGGGAGTATAACTGTTAAAAAAAAACTAAGAAGTGAGCATGCCCTGTCGCACACTTTTCAGTCTGTAAGAAAATAGGTGAAAATAAGTAAAATAAAAATATTCAAACAAAAATTTATCTTCAGAGTTGTTAACTACTGCTTTCCAAAGCCGTTAATGAGTTTGCAACATTTTGCTGGTGATATGGAGAATCAGAAAATATATATATTTCTTTCAATGGTACTTTTTCGATTTTGTCATGGGAACCCTGCAGCAAAGTTTTTTCAATGCAGATGGATTTCAATTCACAGATTGGAAGACATAACTTTTCTCCTCCATACCAGAACCAACCATATACCTTCACTTTTATTTATGGTTTCTGTATGAATAGCACTTGATAACCTTCAATTCTTAAAAATGAAAACTGGAAGTTTAAATCTTAAGAAAGTTGTAGAAAAGTCAAAACAAAATCTAGTGCTGTAAAGGAATATGCTATTTTTCTTATGACTGTCACTATGTTTTAAAGACTACTGTTTTAAAGCTGTATTTTTCATTTCATTTCTGTCATTGGAATCTGCATCAATAATATTTTTTTAGCTTTTAACAACAAACTCCAAAATGTCTTTGTCTGCCATAATTGGGGCTCTACACACATTATCATCATCTACTAACAAATTGTTCCGATGATATAGTAAGACAGTCTAATTATACAGAAAATATCTCAAACATTTCATTAAGTGTTGACTCAATTTCAATATTCTAATTCTCCATTTCTTTTGCCGCGAACCAAACTCACCGATTTTTACACACACTGTGATGTACTCATCACCGAATTAGAAAAGCCAACTGATGACAGATGAGATGTTTTTCTGTGCTGTTTGTAGGGGTGCAGGGTGAAAGTAGCTTATATAAACAAAATTGGCTCGTGTCACAGGCTATTCCGAGGATATTTCAAAGCCAAGTTAGTCTCCTCTCTACGAGAAACATGTGAAACCACCTCTCTTTCATTTCACACCCCTCTTAAATCTCACCTGCATGGTTGGTGTTTTCTGTATTTTGTTCATTTCCAGAAGAGAAATCTTTTCGTGTTAAGTAATTTTTGTTTCATGTTAAAAGAAAAAAAAATGCATGAAATTGCGTAGTTGTATTATTTTGAGTTAACCAATATTTCATCTTAAGCACTTTCATGTTAAACATATTTCACTGTACATATATATATGCATACACATGTATGCATTTCGGATTTGGTACCTCCTAGTAATAGAAGAGTACCAAATTTTCTCTTTATTCATCATGCATCAATTACAAAACATTCTATCCTACAAATGTAGAAAAATCAATACTTTTCTGTTATCAGGACTGGATTTAGATATATATATATATATATATGTCTACATGTGTGCATGCACTTCCGAATCCAGTTCTCAATAACAGAAAAGTACCTGAAAAATCTTAGAAGGCAGTAAAATCCTAGTATATGGTACAATGTGATTTATTTTGAAAACTGTCACCAATACCAAAATGACTCGTTTACTGCTCATCATAATGTCGCCAAATCCCATATCTATCATATACTAGGAATAATCCTTAGAAGCCTACTTGCTACTTTACCGTTTCACCGGCGCAAATCACGCCAAGCAGACTTTATTGGCAACAACACACGGTATACACATAAAACATGTTAACAAATGTTAATTCTAAGGTTTTTTTATTTTGAAGGCATAAACATTTTAATATCGTTTAAAATTTTGTAAAAAGGTAATAAATAAAGACAATAAATTTGTAAAACGAAATTAATTTAAGAATTTACTATGTTTTCATGGTAGAGCATCCTGATTCGAAGGTTCATATCACGTGACACCAAGCGATCTTATCTCATGTAAACTAAGCTACAAAAATGTAATTCTCGCATTAATTTCAAGTTATTAAGTTTCAAGTTATCCAGTTATCAGTTCATTCTACATTAATTTCAAATTAAATCTTAATATGGAATACAAGTTTAAATGCAAAAATCATTTTTATTCATACGAATAGCTTACTCAGAAATTATGTAAAACCGCAGTGCTTTACTTCGCTAGTGCATTCACATCAAAATTGATGAAATTAACAATTTACTTTGCCTTTTCTGT